AAACAATAATATAAATGACAAATGTCTTACAACACATACGACTGTCTCTATTTTGGCTATGTCCTTACCTGTGGATGTTCTGGGATGATAACATTTGCCTTTTGTCCACCTGAATCTGAAACTACTGCTTTACTTATTTCTTTCTCCAATGGTATATTTTTTTAATCTTCGCTTTTAACTTTTCCTTGACTGTTACTCATTTCCATTGTTGTGTTGATCTTTCCCTCACTTTTAAGTAACTCCTTCCCTTGATTTAGGAAATAGTCAAGTTGATGCTTAGCTCTTTCAGCTTCCTGTTTTTAAAAAGTACCAGTTTAACAAGCATTATTTTCTGACATTTTCCTGCCAATACTACAACCTTCAGGAATCTGCACATATTTATGCCCACATTATTTCTCAACTCTTATTTTTACTGAGTTGGAGGAAGCTAAGTCATTGGTATAATCAATAGTTTAACAATTCCACAATCAAAATTAAAAGCTATAAAGAAACCTCTTTCACTTTTGAATGCTATTTTTATACCCAGGAGTTTCTCCTGGTTGTTATCTTTTTAAGGCTCTAATTAATGTACAAGCAAAATAAAAATTAATAGAAAGTATACATTATAAAAAGTGATGGATTTTAACCAAGATAATTAATACTCAAAAAATGAAAGAAAATGTGGAAAATAAATAACATTTCTTCTAGATTAAAATTTTCTTTACAATGTCACTTTTTATAATTTCTATTTAGTTATACAAATAACTTATTTGTATAAAAGAATATATACATCGACAGAAAGAAAATTCACAAATAATCTCACCATATAGAGAAAAATCACTGTGAATATTTTGTTGTATATCCTTTCCAATTATTTCTAAATATACCTGGTACACATATGCATATATTTTTTAAAATTTTTATCTAGATGGGATCATACTATACTGTACTCAAATAATATGCTCTTTTCATTAAATAATGTCATATATGTTTCTATGACAATAAATATACATTTAAATCAGAATAGGTAACAGAACATTTAATAATATATTGTAATTTATTTACCAAATTCCTTATCAATGGAAATTTATTTTGAAATACATTTTTGCTATTAAAACATATTGCATTATACATATTTGTGTAAAATTTCTGTACATGTTTTCCTTCTTTAGAATAAACTTTTAGGAGACTTATAGAGTGAAAAGGCTGTATCTTTACAAGTTTTGCTCTATCTTTTCTTCAATACTTTCTTCCAAAGTATCAATTCAAACTTTTTTGATAATGGAAGCATATGAAACATTGCTCATTTCAGCATACACCCATCAATATTATATATTTCTGTCCCTTAAATTCTTACCAAAATGGTAAGTAATGAAAAATCTATCCCACTGTTATTTTAAATTGCATTTAATTGATAAATACTGAGGTTACATATATTTGTATTCATTTATTGGTCATAGGTATTTCTGAATCATGACTTGACTACTTATGTCCTCTGTGTTGGGAAGGACTATCCATATTTCTTGTAGGTTTATAAAATATCTTCATATAAAACGTTTTCCATTTATCTTTCTATCTTATAATTTTACGATAAAAAATGTTTTAAGTTTACATGTACAAATACTAAATTTTTATATTCATTTGAATCTGTTTCTAGATTTTTTCTATTCAGTACCAGAACTAGAACCATGGTGTTGTAATTACTGTAGGTTTACATTATATATTTATTTTTGGATGAGAAGATCTTCCTTAATTGTTCTTTATTTGCATAATCACCAATTTCTTGTCTCATTATATCTTATGATAATTTTGTTAAGCTCAAAAATAATTCCATTTATATCTAAAAATAAATTGCTTTAAGCTACAACAGTTTGGGAAACATGGAAAATGGAAATATTGATAATACTTAGCCTTCAAGACCAAAATTACAAATTTCCATTTCTCCACTATTTATCTACGCCCCTTGGTAATGTATTGTATCTTTATTGATATAAAACTGTATGTAGTTTTTGAAAAATATGCTATCCTAATATTCTAGACTAATATTATGAATAAACTTTTTCTATTATGTTTTCTGAATGATACATTTAAACAATCATTTTCTAAATGATTGTTTCAGATAAAATCTATTGCTTTGTTATT